CAAAGAGCCTGCAGCCAAACCCCAAAGGTCTGCCAGCAGGTGGTCTTAACTGACAAATTTGCAGTTAAATGCCAAAGCTGGAGGATGCAGATAGGCAAATTCAGTTTGGAAATAAGCCATACATTTTCAACAGCTAAGGTAATTAGCAATTGGATTGACCTAATAAGGCTTGTAACTGACTCTTCATCACAGAAATGCTAAAGCTGTGACTAGAGATTTCTCAAAAAAAATAAGTAAATTAGTAATAATATAAAACATGTGATTATAAAAATATAAATAAAAGTATAAAATATTATTTATAAAACTGTGATTAGTTAAATTACATTTATTATCCTTATAGCAAAAATAATCTTAAGGAAGTTGTGTGGTTACAAAGGAGACTAAGACTGAATGGTAGGAAAATAACATTGCTTAGCCTTAAAATCCATTAATTTCAATGATCGCAGTACTGAGCCTTGCACACACTTCTCACAGCTCTCTGTTCTGCACTGCTTCCACAATTTAGAGTGTGTCCAATAAGCTCCACTGAAACCTAATGGTGTGTCTGTGCTATTCTGCATGTTTCAAAGACAGCAAAAAATTTTAATGAAAGGTTTTGCAGTTCTTCGTCCATCTCCAAATGAGTCCTGGCAGTTTGTTTTCCATGTGCAGTCCTGAGACATAACATTGCTCACAAAACACAACCACATTTACTGTTAAAATGGCATTGCTGCTTGCGTGAGAAGAACAGAAAATTAATTTCTCTCTTTAAACTTTTGGGTTTTAGGCCAAAAGTGCTTTCTTTCACTTCTGTGGGAGTGTGAAAGTAGAACTTCTAGATCCAGACAGGGATAGACAGGCATCACGTATGCTCAGCATGGCAGCAGTTTTTTATTTCCTCACAGAAGTCTGAGGGTTAATGAAAGCCCTCAAATAGTTTGAGACCCAAATACAGACTGAAAGAATCCCATGAACTTGGCCAAAGTTTCTTAATTATAATGACCACTGTGGGCACTGCAAGATCCCAGAAATGCTGATGGTCCTTGATTGTGCCTCTTTTTATGTCATCACCCTGGAATTGATTGTTTTCCAAAGCTGCCCATTCTGCAGGCTTTTCCTGGCTCACAATTTCCAAATGGCTTTGAAGGATCCTTTTCTCCTTATCTTGAGCTTATTTCAAGGTCAAAGTAAAATTACAGGGACCCCTTATTTCAGAAGCAGCTTATTTCATGCCTTGTCTTCAGCCTGCAGTGCACAGGCAGTGCTTTAGGTGTCACACAAATACAAAAGAGCTGTATTTGATGCACAATTCATATTTCTAGTTGCTCATTTGGACAGTGCAGTTTTTACACAAAGCTTTTGTATTGAAGTAGAAATTAAAGTAAAAATCTACTAAGAAATGTGCAGTTATAAAAATGGCAATTACTTATTTGAAGCTTCCTGGGCATACTGAAGAGATGAATTTCTGGATTTTGTAATTAGAAATATAATTTTTTGGCTTATTTTTGTTGCTAACAGTGTAAGACCTTAGAGAGGAATCCTCAATTTTGTTCTTCTCTGAGCATCATTTACTAAATTCCAGTGAATTATTAAAGCTCTGTGCAAGATCAGTGAAATCATTGGGATTGCCCAGGTGCAACCACAGTGAAGACCCTGAATTTCAGCACTGGAGCTAAAAAGCAGGCTGAAGAAGAGACAAAATCTCTGGCCATACTCCCCAAGTGCAGGTTGTGCTGGCATTGCTAATGGTTAGAAACACCTGCTTGGAGGAGGTGTTGTCTTGAGGGAAAATATCAATTAATAACTGAAATACTTGTGATCTGAGAAAAGTGGCTGTGGTTTAATTTGCAGAGAAACATAGAACCATTTTCAAAAGCCGCCTGGTGCTGTCCAAGTGCAGGGTAAATCCAGGTTTTCACAGCTCAGAGGCCCACCGATCTGAGGATGCAGAGCTGAATCTCTGCCATGTTAGGTAACTCATACGGAAATAAACCACCCAGAAAAATATAGAAGGGATTTGATTTTATCTTCTTCTTTGAATATTTTTTCAATTTCATTTTTAATTTTTTTAACAGGAAAATAGTTGTATGTCTTTAAGGAACACATTCAACACACCATTAAGCATTAAAATAAGAACACATCATTGCACACAGACCAAAACCTGTCTTTTCCTCCACTAGAATTGCAAATCCACCATTGTACTGAATAAAAATGAAAGTAAGATTTTTAAAGTAAATCTTTTAGTTTGCCTTTGGCACAAAACCAAACAATTTCTATTGTAAGGTTTTCTGACTGCATATAAATATTCCCCTGCAACACAGTTCATCTTGGGGAATGTTCCCCAGTGTAACATATCTGTCACCGAGATTATTCTTCAGATGATCCATTTAATCTTGTTGCATCAATAAATAATTGCACTTCTTGGGCTGCTCCAGATAGAAGATCATCCAGCCCAACTCCTGGCCCTGTACAGGATGCCCCAACAATCCCACCCTGTGCCTGAGTGTGTTGTCCAAAAGCTCCTGGAGCTCTGTCAGCCTTGGGGCTGTGACCATTCCCTGGGGAAATGAATTCCCTGTCCAGCACCCTGTGGGGGAAGGAACAGTCCTGATAACCAGCCTAAAACTTCCCTGAATCAGCTTCATCCCATTTCCTTGAGTCCTGTCTCTGGTCACAATAACAGAAGGCAGCTTTCAACTGTTTGGAGGGACTGGGAGCTCTGGGATGGATGAGGATGAACTGGGAAAAACTGAAATGAACTGGGAGCTCTAGGAGGGACTAGGAGTAGCTTAGACTTCTGGGATGGACTGGGGGCTCTAGGATATTCAGTTAAATTCCCAAATTTGTTTCTGGCCATATATGTTAAGTAACTCTGTTACCTCATCCAGCATTTCCTTTCTTCTCATTTTGGCTTAGCAACTCCTCACATTGTTCAGGCCTCCCTTTGGCCGAGTACTACAGACCATGGCAAACTCATGGAAAAGTAAGGCTCAAGGAAGCACATGCATGGAAGAGTGAGTTGAGAAGATGGCCTGCTAACCATCCTGGTGTAACCCCAGCCAGCAACCACTCACTCCTCAACAGCAGAATAAGGGGGAGAATGAGAAGGGTAAAAGAGAGAAAATCCCTGGTTGGGATAAAGGCAGCTTTATAGCAAAGCAAAGCTAGGAATTCCCTGCTTGCCATGGTTGGGCAGGTGTTCAGCCATCCCCAGGAGAGCAGGGTCCCATTACAACAGTTTCTCAGGAAGACACACACCATTACTCCAAACATCCCTCCCTTCCTCCTTTTTCTCCCCACTGATCATGATGCCATAAGGTTTGGAAAGTCCCTTGGGGTCACTAGCTGTGTCTCCTCTTAAATTCCTTCAGCAGTGTGACAGCAAAAACACAGGAAAGGTCTTGGCTCAGTGTAAGCTCTGCTCAGTAAAAACAAACTCATCTCTGCATTATCAGCCCTGTGCTCAGCTCAAGTACAAAAGCACAGCCCCACACTAGCCACAGCCCCATACAGCCCCTAGTGAAACTACAGAACATGGTGCCCTTCAGGCCTTCTCGGAGTATAATCCCTCAGAACTTTAGGTCCTGTAGAATTGCTGAGTGGTAGCAGCCAAAATGCAATGACATGGATGCATGCATTCACAGGAATGGTTTTTCAAGTAGCCTTCCAGCTATGTGCTGGACTCTGTGTATGAACTGTAAAGAGTGTTTATATGCTGCACACACTGCACCAAATTATGGGTGCTTCTGATTGGGTTTGCTGTGCTCCAGTGCTGCCAGGACTCTCCCGAAGGAGACAAGGTCACAAGAGGGGCTGCTGAGCTGCTGAGTAGTGCTCCTTCCCACAGTGTCTCAGGCACCACCACCATGGCAATGAATGTGTAGGCGGGATTGTGTCCTAGGTCTAATTCCACATCCCAGCTAAAAAATCCACGGCTGCATTTCTACACTTAAATATTGCATTCCTAATTCTACTTTGGAGAAGCTTCTTACAAAGGCACAATGCTCCCAGAATTTTTTATTTATCCAAGGGCAATTGTGCCTTAGAAATGGTTTATTGAAAACCTTTGACCTGAGTTCTAATCTGATTTAAATTCATTTAAATTCAGAATCACTCTGGGCTAACTCCAGTGTAAGGGTAGTAGTGGTCCATGGGACGGCAATGGTGCTTCACAGAAATATCAACAGCAGCTGGCTTTCTGTCCTTAGTTAATTTGATTATACAGTTTTAGTTTAACTTAAACAAAGCAGTGACCTTATTATTATTTTAAGAAACTTATTTTGAGAGGAGGGAATCGTATTTCTCACATAAATCCATCTTCAAATGTCTTCTTTAGATGTACATGCATCTGGGATTGGAGTAGAGTTTGTGTGGGGAGAGGAAAAGCGTACTGGATTTCACTGATCCCAGTTGCTTTAAATTATGCAGGGAAGAGAGAGATGCTGTTTATGCATGAAGAAAACAAGGTTGGCAGCAGAGATCAGAAGGGCCTTGCTTTTGTAGTTTCCCTCTGCTATAAAATGAGTACAAGGGGAAGGCTTGGGGTATCTTGCAAGAACTGTCTGAGGGGTCACATTTGGTGCTTGTGACGATTAGAAAAAAAATCAATGGTAGTCAGCATTCTTGTCATGGTTTCTTTCTCAAGCACTGTTTTTCTGTAGCTTTACAAGAAGCAATTCTGAATAAATGCTTGAATCTTGCTTTGCCTAAATGTAAATTAAGGTCAATTTCAGGGATTTCTCCAGATATGAACTTTAGTAAGAGTTGAATACATGTTTTCAAATACTAAATCATAGTTTCATAGGACATTTTGCAGACATTTTCTACATGTCTTATTTACTCTTCCTCTCCTTTATCTCAAAATCTACCTTAAAATATCAGTGTTCTAAATTGCATAATAAACTTCAAAATCACATCAGAGGAACTGAGAATGGCTCTCAGTAACAAATCCTGTTATTCTAATATTTCCTATTGTACATTTCTGTCACATCTGTTATTTTGTTTATGTGTTTTGCCTACAGAATGAAAAGGAGAAGCTGACATGGAGTGACCGCATGCCTGGATATGCAGTGAACTTTGGACTGATTTTATTTATGGTAAGATAACCTGCATTTCTGCTCATTTATTAGGTATGAGAAACTTTGCCATGAGCATCTAGAAGGAAACCTTTAAACTGCTGTTTTCAAATATGTTAAAAGTCTGAAAGTAAGGTAGGTATGGGAGAAATACTAGGAAGGTTCATGGAGCTCAATGCCTGCCTCCAGCTTTACTCTATTTTTCCAAAGGCTGCTTGTGGAAGGGCTGACTTTCTGTAATGCCAGCACATTTTTGTTTTGTGTTCATTACACAAATTCTGCCTCTCCCCCAGGGTTTCTGCTCCATCTCTGTTATCCAATGAAGGGATAACATTGATATTTAGTTGTGAGCACAGTACTGCACATGTTGGTCACAGTGACGTTTGGAAAGGTTGAGCCTCAAAACATGCAACATACAGGTGAAATAAATCAGTTGCTGAAAAATATTTATCCAAGGCACATTCAGGGATGGACTGTACAGTAGTTGAGGAAGATCAGGGTACACAGTCCTCCCTTGGGAACAAGAATCAGGTGTGCAGGTCAGACTCTAAAGCAGGGACACCATTGTCCTAGTCAAAAATCAAATTTCCAGCAAAACAAATACATTGTGAAGCTGCTGGACTTGTAAACAGCAACAGGAAGGCCTGGATAAAAACCCCTAAATTACATGGTAAAGGATCCCATTATCCCTCTAGTTACAGTAATTACTGACTGAAACCTTCTGTTCATAACTGGCAAAACAGCAATGAAATACGCCTGTTTACATCACTGCAGCATCTAACTAGGGAAACTCACTTGGGGCCTAAATTATTTTAAGATACCTAAGTGTATTTCTAATTTACTCTAATTTGCGTATACTATACCAGATGTCCTGTGAAGATTTAGTTTCTTTTGCTGACTATCAAACGCTCACATTGAAGTTAATGTCTACACCCTTATCGATATGTTTATACATTTATGAAGATACATGCATTCCATATTCAGAATCTATTTTCTGAGCATTTTAAATGTACATAATAAATAAATGTATATAAATAGTTTCATATATGGATGAATGTTGCAGCATTTTGAGTGAGTTTACCATCCTGAGGCCATACCCAGTATTTGCTTTTTAAACAGAACCTCTTAAGTTCATCGGTCATGACTTAGAGCAGACCACACTGAGTCAGACTAAGCACACAGCCCTGATTTAGCTTTTACAAGTCATTCGTTTGCAGACAAGGTGCTTACATGTGCTCTTGACTTTCACCATGTTTAAATCTCCCCTAAGCAGGAGCTTAAAGTGCTTTCCTGACTCATAGCCTAGGTATTACCCTCCCTGCTTACTGTAACATCTCAGAGAGATTTATGAAGGATTTTTACCTACAGTTTGTGAGATGTAAAATGCAGAGCTCAAATTCTTCAACTTCTGTTCATGACTAGTGGAACTAGGTTGACTTTCACCATCTGGCAAAGTGGACACAATGACTTTATTTTTGCAATATTTTGAGCATTATTTATATGTAAGTACCTACAGGAGACAACTTGCAAACCGTGCATGAAATTCAAGCCAACTCTTGATGAGGGAGAGCACGCTCTGCTTTCCTACATGAATATTGCAATCTGCTCTTGACTGTATGGGATGTTTCCCCTTTTCCTGCTATGTTAGTTAAACAGGAATTGGAAAGATCAGACTGAAGATTTGTTGTCAGTCTGTGAAATATAATTGCACTGAGAAAACCTTACTGGTCTTGTTAACCTCCATTATTATTGTTCACCCAGATTAATTATTTTAACTTTTAATTTTAATTATTTAAAATAATTAATTTATTTATTTTAATTTATTTATTTAAAATAAATAATAAAATGTTGAATTTACAAGTGTGTACAGGGGTATAAGACTCAGTCATAGACCTGCACACAAGTGCATAGCAATTTCTAGTGCTGCAGAAGTGATTGTAGAATTTATTAATGCTACCTTTTCTAGGCCAAAAGGGTCTGGAGTTCCAAATCTACAGGTGTTTTCCATGAAGATTTCTATGTTGCTATAGAGTGATGCTGTTTTGTTCTGTCCCTCCTTCCCTGAGCTTTACATCCCATTACTTTCCCTGGTGATTCTTGAAGCTGGTAATGGTTTTTGTAGTGTAAAATCTTTCCTTTTCATTTTTTCCCTTAATTTCCATACTTCCATTGTGTACTTCACTTTTGTGAATCCTCTTTCAAGAATTGTGTCACGGTCTTTTCCTTTCTCTCTGGCTTTTCCTCTGTCTGTATTAAGCTAGGCATGCTGTCTGTTTTGTTCAAAACGCAGGTTGAAAAAAACCCATTGTGTTTGCTTCTCTTGCCCATTCTTACATCACAAGTCCAAGGATTAATTCACATATGTATGGATGCTTTAAAATCTGATCACAGTCCTTTTGTTGTACACAAAGCCTCATAGGACCGCAGAGGGGACAGAAGATCCAAACCTGATTTAAGTTATGCTTTTTGCAGGGATTGTAGGACAGAAGTTCACAAGCCTTATTTTTGCAGAGTGAGATCAATGGTAGAAGGTGGTTTGGGCTTAGCTAGGTATCTAAAACTTTTTCTTGAGCGTGAACAATAACACGTCACAATTTATAAACCCCATATTTAGAAGGCACATGTTGTGGCAGAGATTTCGGAGTTGGTGATAAAGATGCTGGTAGTGTTGGAAGAGAGCAGGATGGCATGGAGCAATGCATCACTGGAGCTTTTCTTTGTTTGGCTCAGTCAGAGGAAGAAAATCAGTTTGTGTCATGGCAGAAGAGTTCAGCCTCTTCCACCCTTTTCTCACTCACATGGTGTAATACTTGACTCGAGAATAGCCCTACTGGGGAGCCAGAGAACAATCTGGACATGAAACTGTTATCCTACTTGGATGGAGGTAGCAGCCTAGCCCACGGGGTTTTATAGCTTCCTTCTCAGATCTAGTTTGCTTTCCTGTTTGTCTCTATTCATACCAGGCTCAGTAGGTGACCTTTTCTGCAGCCAATTTTCACATCTGTTTCTAAGCAGATCAGTCCTGGATGGACTAGTTCAGCTATTCAGGGAAGAAACTGCCATAATAGGGGGAAGGATGGCCAGAGGGAATGTTGGCAATGACAACAAACCCCAAAGTGGGCACCTGAACAAATGGTGGCCTGCCTTATCAGGAATTTGGGCAGAAGAGGTATTTTCAGGAGTGAGAGAAATGCTGTGAAGATACAGGAACCATTTCCCCTTAGTGACTGTCTGGGGAGTGAGAGCTATGCTCACAGTCACTGTGCAGTCCTACAGGCCCTCTTCAATTTTCTCTTCTTGCTTGATGCACAGATAATGAAGACTCCTAAAGGAGTGTTTTTCCATCTGTGTCTAAGCAGATGTTTAAAAACAGCTGAGCAACTGAGAGTTTCTGAAGCCCTAGTGCTTTTGCAAAGAAAATATCTTTGTTCTATAAACAAATAAAACTTTTTTTTTTTTTTTCAGTAGATTTGGATACCTTGCTATGGCACTGCAGAGATTGAGAAGGTTGCCACTCTCTCATCCTCCAGTAACATTCCTCAGGGCAAGGGATCCCTGCAATCCTTTAGTCAGGTTCAAGAGTTTGCTATTGAACTTTCATGATCTGAAATTTCCTCTTTCTCTATTTAGTGAACACTGTCCTCGGCTCTTCTTCCTGTACTGTTAAGATATCATTCCTAAGTGAGAATTTGTGATGGACAGAGATGTGTGTTGAGGCCCAGGGATCTCATCAGCTCCAGAACAAGGCATCCTATTGATGATTTTCCTTGTCCACCACCATAGTGAAAAAAATTGCAAAGAAATCCACAGAATAAAGAAACAGGAAAAGAGCATTAAGGAAGATGATTAAGAAGAAGAAATCTGTGACTCAGAAAAGAAAAATAAAGAACTTGAGGTGTCTGTAGAGGTGGAAGGTGAAGCAAATTAATACCAGGTGGTGCTGTTTTGTTTCCTTCCTTTATTGGGGATTTTACTCTCTACTCTAGTGATTGTAATGGGGAAGCAAGGAAAAAGTTATAGTCCTTGTGTTCCTGCACCCCTTTTGTCACAGCAAGGTAGTTAATGTGATTTTTTTTTTTGTCTGTTCATTTGGTAGGTAAGTGAAGAGAAAAACAGATATAAAAATCAAGATCAACATCAAAATGTTTCCTTGAGACAATGAAAACTACAAAACCAAAGGGAATATTTAATGTAATTTGAAAAGTTTTCATTTAAACTGTTTCAGGTTCAGGCTTTTATCATTCACCTACATTTCATTTAAAATTAATGAAACAGTTCTTTAAAAAGTAAAATTAGATGTTTTACTAGGTCTTAACATTTTATTACTGTTTGTTGACAAAACATATTTGACAATTTCATCTGAAGTCTCCAGAAATTTCTCTAAATAATTAATTTTTAGTATGTTTACTAGCTCTTCATAAAAGCAAAATGTGCCCAGTTTTCACATTCAGCCTGTAATAACTTAACTCTGATTCTTCTTGTGGTTCTTTTACAATAGTTCCTTTTCATGCAACAACCTTCCTCAGCATACAGTGATCTACTGCTGGAGCATTAAAATGAACTGTTGAATTTCCTTAAACCCATGTTTTTAATCTGGGCCCCTAGGCCCATTTTAATAATTGCAGTAGTCTAATCTTTCACACTGAGTCTCTTTCATCTGAGGATCTCTGATGTGGTGCTCTCCAAGCCCGAGGTCCCTTCGGGTACCTGGCCGGCAAGCTCAGCCGCTTACCCTGCGTTCAGCTTTTTGGGATGCTCCCCAGTACGCATGCAAAACAGGGGGCAGCTTACAGCTCCTCAAAGAGCTGCCACATGGAGCAACTACAACAAACACACGCTGAGGTGGAAGCAAAGCAGCAGAGGACTCTTCCAGCTGTAGCCAAAGAGAGGTTTTATTGACCAGCTAAAAACATAGGCATCACCCAGCACAGAGGAGCACTGGATCAACGTTGCAACAGCTGATAAACTGGGGTGGTCTCAAAGGCGGGGTCACAGAACATCCAATGAGTGAGGAACAGGGGAGGTCTTAGGGGCTAGATGGACATACACAGGCCCAATAAGGAGAAACTCAGGGGAGGGTACAAAATCACACACCAATCAACCATTGAGTGGTTCAGAAATTTCCAGAACTTTGGGAATGGGTAACAGGAGAGTGACAGGAGTGTAGGCAGGGTCTCAGGGGATTGTCATATAATGTGGGAGGGATGTGCAACTTTCCAGGGAAGAAGGGGTGGTACACAGCTGGGGATTGACACTGAGGGGAAGGGGGCGATAACTTGGAGTAAACCATGAAACCTGGGAAAACTGAGGCAAACCAAGAAAGGAAAAACAGACCACAACAGATCTCAAGATCTTTTCCTAAAATAATGAATGTACACTGCAATTCTTGCTAAAGGCAAAAACGAAAGGGGAAAATGTACCTTCTCCCCATTTTGTGCTGTGATGATAAAAATTTTCTGGTTTTATTTTTGTTTTTTTTGGTTTTTTTTGTTTTTTTTTAAAAATTGGATTGGTTTAGATTTCTTTTTTTATTTATTTTAAACCAGAATACCACAATCCTGTGAATTTCAAATTATTCTTGTGGGAACTTGACCTTAAGTAGCAGGTCCAGCTTTCCTCATCTCATCAGATGGTCAAAGCCAGCCCATCAGGGATGCCAGAGATACCAAGTGATTTCTGGGACACAAGTGCAAAATGAAGCCCTTATAACCATACTTAGGTCATTCTTAAAAGAATAATAACTTTTTATTGTTTTAATTTGTAAGTTGGTACTTCTACTGTGCGCAGGTGAAGCTGTTTGAACACAGTAAAGCCCATTTACCTGACTGCACGTAATATAGGCCCTTCAGTCCAAGCCATGGGAACCTATTGCCAGATAAAAGACCTTGCTTAATTCCTGCTTTTGAGCCCCAAATGCCCACATTTCACTGCGTGAATGATGTGTGTAGCTTTAATCAGAACGAACATGCCCATCTGCAGGAATCCATGGAATCAGTATAAAAGAATCACAGATTAGTTTGGGTTGAAAGGGATCTTAAATGTTATTTAATTCTAATGCCCTGCTAGTGGCAAGGATGCCACTCATGGGATCAGGACACTCAGAGCCCCATCCAGCCTGGCTTGGAACACTTCCAGGGATGGGGCAGCCACAGCTTCTCTGGGCAACCGGTGCCAGGATCTGTCTCAACCCGCCACAGGAAAGAATTCCTTCCTAATATCTAATAAAAAAGTGTTCTCTTTTGGTTTAAAACCATCCTCCTTTTTCCTACCACTACCTGCCCATGTAAAAAGTCACTTTCCCTCTTTTTCATTACCCTCCTTTAGATACTGAAAGGTGGTATAAGATCTCCCTGGAGTCTTCTCTTTTCCAGGCTTGACAATCCCAACTCTTTCAGGCTGTCTTCGCGGGACGGGTTCTGTGAAGCATCCGAGCATCCAGCCTGCTGAGCATCTTGTGTCAGTTGAATTGTTGTGCCAATTTGGAGTCATGCATTCATTTTCTTATTTTTTATTTATGTCCCTGTTTGTTGGAGACCTTTGAATTCTTGCCTTTTAATTCGATCACCTGCATATTTTCACCTTGCACTAAGAAACAACTCTGCAATGCCAATTCATGGAACACACCCAGCCTTGCAGCCAAAGCTTCTGTTTCCAAGCTGGACTAATCTGTGTATTCATTTGTTTGCAGATCATGCTGGCGTTTTCAGCAGTGTTTGGTGTCATCGTGTACCGAATCACGACAGCTGCAGCCTTGTCCTTCAGCACAAATGAGACAACCAGATCCAATGTTCGAGTGACTGTGACTGCCACTGCTGTCATCATTAACCTCGTGGTGGTCCTCATCCTTGATGAAATTTATGGAGCTGTGGCCAAATGGCTGACAGAAATTGGTAAAACTGCCTCACCCCATTCCTTGTTAATTTGTGTATTGACACGAGGGGGTGTAAGGAGGGTGCAGGAGGAGTATTTCCTCCTGGATAGGGCCAGCGAAAACATTCAGGCATGTGAAGGTACCTCTTTACACCTAAGAGCTGCAGAAAGTCAGTGGGTTGTTTAAAAAATGTTGATGGTTCTGACAAAGTTACTCTGATATTGTTTCCTTGATGAAAGTTTTACCCATTTCCTTACTGCTCAAATGATTTTTTTGTTCAATTTTAGGGCCATTTCTGGGCTGGACTTCTTAATAATAATTTCTATTGCAGTTAGTGGTTGGACTTTAAAATTTTATTTTAAACATCAAAATATTGTTGCAAGCCTGGCTATTTATTTCTTTTGAAAGGAAGGAATTCCTTTGACTGCTATAGAGGTTTAGGCCTGAAGTATTGATTTGTTATATACATTAGGCTAAAGATGTGTACTAATAGGTGTTTACATTGGGACTTTGTTTTATTATTATTATTTATTATTTATTTGTTTTATTTGGGTTTTTGATGTATTTTTTATTTTTATTCTGTTTGTTGTTTATTAATTTGTTTTATTAAATTAGACCAAGGATGTTGACTTATAGCACCCTTACATAAGATTACTCTTTCTTCTCAATTTCTCGGAACACTTTTAAATTCACAGATGAAAACATCTCTTTCAGTCCTGTTTTTGAAAGAGCATTACAAACTACAGTTTTGCAGTTGTTAGAGGTTCAATCCTGAATTTTGGAAGTATGGTCCTGTTAGTTCAGATTAAATTCCTGAAGTATTTGAAAGAAATGAAGGCAAAGCAATTAGTTTTCAAATTGCCATTTTATTGGTTTAATTTTGTTTATTTCTGTTTTCGACCAGGCTTTGGGCAGATTGTAACAGGGTTACATAAATGGACTCTGTTCTAGTGGCATAAATGAGATCAGGCTCACTGTCCAAGCCAAAATTGTATCCAGATTTTCAGCTTTCACATAAGTGACAGGCTGCTGTGTATGGCCTGATCAATTCTATTCACTGCACCTGCCCACGTAAGAAAGGGCACAAATGTTAAGGAATTACACAGCTGTGTGGAAAGAGTAGGAAAAGATGAAGATGAGACTTCTCCAGCAGTTTCTAGGCAGGAGCTGGGAAATGCTAGGGACTGCCATGGCCTCTGCTTGGGAAGTACAGGAGGAAAATCTCTCCCTTTGAAATGTGCTTCAGGCTGAAGGGTGAAAGAAACAATTTCTTACTTGCTGATTATTGTCCCCCTGTCACTTTGCATTTCATTCTAATCCTATCTTTATTAGGGCAGCATTCCTAATCAACCATCAGATGTTTTGTTTAAGAAAGATCCAGTCAGAATAATCTCTAGTGCTACAAATGACATGAATTACAAAGTTCACTCAGGCAGCTTTCTCCAGTGCTAGGCTTAGATGCCAAATGTAATCAAAATGTTTTAAAAAATTACAATTCACCATGTTGATAAATGTTGCTTAACTTGTGAACTCTCATTTTGCTGAGAACATGCTCAATTCTCTTTTCACACTGCATTTAATCCACAAGATGAACACATTTGTTGGGCTGAAGGAGTAGCTCTTGGCAGCACAAGTTTCTATGCCAACCCCAAGTACACTTGAACCTCTGTTCAGGTGAAAAATACATCTGTTAGCACAAGAACAGTACTGATAGCAATTGTGTTAATCATGGGATTACAGTCATGTGTGTGCCTCAGTACCTCCTCAACCAGTGCCTGGAGGAAAAGAGTGGGAGTTTTGTTGTTATCAATACAGAGAGCTCCTACAGGGTGGAGCAGGACTCCTGTAGGCCCAGCAGAGTGGGGCACTGATGTCCTTTATCACAGATGAGACCAGCCAAAGTGCAGGTGGTATCCTGCTATTTCCAGGAAGAATAGATAATCTTCAGTAATCAGGTGGTGCCAGACAAGATTTACAGCTCACTTGTAACTCAGAATCACAGAATGGTTTGGGTTAGAAGGGACCTTAAAGCTCACCTCCTTCCAACCCCTTGCCATGGGGCCAAGGAAGAACCAGTGAAACAGGGACAAAATCAAAACTGCTTGTGTTTGTCCTTTGCAAAGGCAGCAGCTCCTTCAGACAGCTAAGGCCCATTCCACCCTTAGCTCAACTCATCCTCCACCTGCAAAGTTCCAGCTGCCCAATTTTAGCATAACAACCCACCACTGACTGTTAAATTTTTTTGGGGATATGGGAGTTTTCTCTGTTACTAGCACACCTATTCTGGCTGAATGCATTTCTCATGCAGCACACCCGATGAGCTAGAGGACAAATTCTACACATGCCTCTACAGCTATGGTATAGGATGTCTGAGGGAGCCTCTGGGACCATATATGGTGTGCAAATGTTCATCCAGAGGCTGAGCTCATCCTTGGAGGGGGTTCTCTGTAAGGCAAAGTTTAGGATTTTTCTCCCTCAAATGAAAAGCTGCACTGCTGTTATCCAATATTCCTTCTTCCCTGAGCTCTTGACTTGTGGATCTATTCGGTGTATAGGATCACCTACAAATTGTTTGAAGGTTTATTAAGCTTTTTTATATATATAGGTGGATTATGCCTTAGGTCTCATCAGGTTGTGCACTGCTCTTTTATGAAAATATGGCTCACAAAAAAAAGTATCACAAAGAAAGCCAGGCAGTGAGGGCTGATTATGCTTTTCTATTCCTTTAGTGCTAAAATAATCATGCTGCTTTTCTAAGATAAAAACCCCCAAAACAACAGTGAAGCAAACAGAACACTCAAACTGTGCCTGAAACAAAACAAAACAAGTACAGCAGTATTTTTAATGAAGTCCTTAAACCAAAGCTCCTTATTATTCCACACATTTTTTGTGCCACAGAAGTTCAGCCAAGAATGATAAATTTAATAATAAAATTATCTTCTCTCACATTAGATACAACTCAGGATGAGTGGAGAAACACAAGGGTTTCACCCATATAAAATATTTTAAAAAGGATCCTACCATCAGTTTGAGAAGTCTTTGTCTTATACCTGTGTTTTCTGCTGCCAGAAAATTTCCACAGGAATTGAAAATAAATCTGGAAACAGAGTAAACAATACTGAAAATATTTAAACAAAGAAATCTTGAAATAAAGGTCATATATAGTGAATTGTTAGCAAAAATGTGCCTTTATTTTGAATTTAATTCACTTAATACCTTATAAAAAAATGTATTTAGTCTCATGTCTAGCATCAAACATATCAACAATCTCACCATAGAAAGGAAGGCTTGTTTGTAGACTACAAGGTAAAGATGCTTTTAAGGTGTTTTTTTCTGGTTGAAAGTCTTTGTGCTTTGCTTTCAGCATTCCTCAATTGAGAATATGAATGTTTTCTTATTTTAGTTGTGTAACCGGGTAATACTGTGATACGTATGTTAATATCCATATGTACAGCAAAGTAATTTATTCTTTTACTGTGTGGAATTGAATATCTCTGGAAACCAAGACTCAGTGACAGACCTAGTGGCTTTGGTACAAATTAGAGGTACAAAAGAAAAATTAATATAACCCCAAAGTTTGAAGTTTGGTTTGTTTTTTTTTTTAGTATATGGGGATTCAGGGACTTTACTTACTGATTCAGTTCTCTGGTTTGCTTTTTTTCCCCCCAGAAATACCAAAAACAGAGAAAAATTTTGAGGAAAGACTGATTTTGAAGGCATTCCTACTGAAGTTTGTGAATTCTTATGCATCAATTTTTTATGTTGCCTTTTTTAAAGGAAGGTAAGATAAATATACTTTACATTATATATTTCTGTGCATGCATTTTTATGTATGTGTCTATATTAGTGGATCTGTGTTTAAAAATGGGCACAAAGGTCTGGGACTGGTCATCCTTGCCAGGTCTGAAAAAATATCATTGACAGGGTTATCTAAAGTTAATAATTCATTTTAGTATTTAAAAAAGGTCCTGTTTTTATAATGAATGGTGGTGCTTACTGGCATTAACTTTCCACAGTTCAGCAAATTTTCCTTGAAGCATCATTCAGCAAAGAAAGGTCTTCCTGTTTCATTTAAAATTATGGAACTCTTTCTTCTATTACTTTCTCATTATTTTGCATTATTCTCCCGTATCAAATTAAGAAATAGTTACAGTCAACTGGCAAATGAAGTGATTGACCAAAAAGCTAGTTCAGCTGTCGTGCTAAATAAGTGTGACTTCCTATGGGCTCAGAATCCATGTCTTTTGGGACCCAGTCATCCACATGCTTTTGAGTGGGAAGCTTAAAATGATTCCTTGCTAAAACTTTGGCAAGAAATGTTTAAAACATCCTCTGGATTCTATTTCCTACCATTTTGCTTTTCCTTTTAGGGGCTGTAAAGTTTGTTAATTTCTGCTCTTTACTAATCCTGTCCAGCACCTTTCATTTGAGGATTAATCATGCATTTAGCTAGCGGTTGCAAATATTGTAAGACACCAATGAAAAAAAGTCACCAAACTCTCTCTTTTTTGACAAGATTTCTGTGTTGTATGGTTAGAATGAAGTCAATATCATTGTTTCTCCTGGTGTAGCCAGAAGAGCCTTGGTGTATAGATATGCAAATAATTCCATTCAGGGCATTATTCACATGTAAGAGAATGTGAAATAGGATATGTGTCCCCAGGTTTTCCATCTCTAATCAAGTGAGGGGGTTTATTATTATAATTTTTCAGCACTGAAAAATATTTTATTAAAATTACTTTATCCGGATGTAGTAGAAAACCATTTATAGAGGCCTATTGCTTTGAAATAATCAAAGCTGAATAGGTGCTGAGCCCTTGAAAATTCACATTGAAGAAGCTACTTCTGAAATATTTTGGCTAATACAAATGAATAATCTTGATTTCACAGTTAACTTATTTTTGTGCTTGTATATTAAATCATGGTGTCAAAATTAGCTTATTTTCTGTTTTTATAGTAGTTTATATATTCTTATTGCTTTCAGGTTTGTTGGCCGTCCTGGTCGTTACGTGTATGTGTTTGAAGGTTATAGGATGGAAGAGGTAAGTACATACGAAATTCAAATTACAAATAAAAACCTTTACACAAAGAAGTATGTGCACAGTGTTCAGCAGACTACAGACAACAGGGGAAATATAGAAAACCCATATTAAAACAAGAGATTAAATCTTCAACTTGACCAGGCAAAACCCAGGGTTTCCATCTAAGGCAACTGTATGTTCTTTCTTTCTGCAGTCTTGACTATTTCATGGTCTATCTTAGAAAGCTTTACCATTCTGTGCTTTAATACTGGGTGCTAAGGCACAAACATTCCATGATTTGGTTGAGGCCTTCAGAAGTGTGAATCTGACTTCCCATTCTGTAGATCACTGGATGCTTGGCAATTTTAATAGCTTAAAATCCTGGACCCATTTTGTGCTAAACCTATAAATGTCTTTTTTTAAAAAAAATCCCTCATGAAGGGGATTGCTATGGGTATTCCCTTGAAAGCTGAGACATGTACTCAAGGTTTGACAATAAAGCTGACGTATATTTTTTTGCAAGATTGAAGGTTTTCTTTCCCCCCTGAGAGATAGCAGGTTGGAAGAGTATTGGTGATCCTGCATTATGCTTATTACATTGATCATATAGTAAATATTTTTAAAGGAAATATAGGAGCCCCAGGGCACATGAGTTGTTTCAGAGCTCTGCATATTTTCCATAATGCAGTTTTATGAGTGGAGATGAAATACCTTGTCAAGCACAGATTTGCAGTGATCTATGAGCTCCATGATCCCGCACAAATTGGTGACAGGGACAGTGGGCACATGAAGGCACTGGCAGCTCTCCCAGATGGACGTTTTAAAATAAATTATCTTAATCCCTTCACAATCTTTTTAATTTTTTGTTTCATTTCAGTGTGCTCCAGGAGGGTGTCTGATGGAACTCTGCATTCAGCTGAGTATCATCATGCTTGGAAAGCAACTGATTCAAAACAATCTCTTTGAAATTGGAATCCCGTATGTATCCCAGCCTTTTCAATTATGCTTTATTCCTGTGGCACAATAAATCAAAGACTTGATCCTTATTCAGCTAAATGGGACTTTTGCCACTGCCTTCAGTGGATTCTAATTGAATGTGATGATGGATCACATTTTTGATTGTGGTGAAATGATTTGGTTGTATTTTATATTGAATAATTGGCTATATCTTCACTAAATGGCTTAAAGAAAATGATGGAATATATGAAATAATTGATTTAAATTAATTTTAGAAACCAGGGAAAACAGGCAAGGTATGATAGATCTCTTGGGAAGTTTCAGAGAAGCTCTCAGGACAGCAGCATTGAATACAAATTAGCACAAAGTGGAGGGGAGATAGTGTGGGGGAAAGCAATAGCCCATAAAAGGTGTTAAAATCTATTACTTGATCTATGACTGTTTTATGGGTTTACAGATGAAATCCATATGTTTCCAAGGTGCCTTTATGTCATTCTGTGATGATCCTGGAGCAAGCAGAGACACTGACAGCTTAGTGCCTTTCTGCCAGAGGCTGCTACAGTGCTCAGTCCCCTGCTCCAAATACAGCAGGAAAACTTTCCCTGTCTGTCACCAGTGCCAAGGGGATCTTCAGGCACTGGGGATCTACTGAGAAAGTCCTGCTCCTGCCTCTTGGGAGGTTTGCTTTGTGGTAGAAGTAGCCTTTGAAATGCTGGAAATTAAATGTCTGGTTTAGACATCTCAGCTCCACTGAAATGAGGCAGAATCTTCCAACTCTGGTGTCAGTAGCTTTTAGGTCACATCCATAAGGCCATGGAGATGGTAACTAGAAATCAAGAGGAGTGATTCTTAAAATATATGAAATATATTTCAAATGAGGCCTTTTCCTCCCTTTTCTCAGCAAGAACCTTTTTTTTTTTTTTTTTTTTTCTTGCAAGGAATTTAAATAGAGAGAAAAAAATTCCCAAACAAATCAGATGTAGATTATGGATGGTTTCATTATTCTTGTGTCAAAGTTCAATAGGAGGCCTGTTTTCTGTCTGCATCTCATTGAGTTTACATTTTATTTTGAGAAAAGGGTGGTAAATCATTCCCAAAATATCTGACATGTTGAAGGCTTAAAGCTTTCTCAGTGTAAACCTGCTGTAATTTGTTTCTCGTCTTCCAAAAAACTTATTGCTACTGGACTTTTTTACAGGGGATTTTATGATGTTACAAATACTGTATTTATTATTTTTGACTCATGAAAGCATGGACTGATCCAGTCCAAACAGAAAGTCATGTCTAATTATTTTTCATTTCCCTCCCTTCAGTGCAAGAATGCAGTAATTCCATCCCATTTTTCTCCCTCAGATCTGCTCCCCTACCCTTCAGCCAACAAACAGTGGTGGCCTCAATTTTCAAAACTGTTTAAAATCAAACATACTTTCCTCCTCCCTTTCCTAGATAAATATCTCATTTCAGTCACAAAGCTATCTTGTCATCCTGGAATAAACATATCTGCTTTTCCTTTGCTTGTCTGCATTCCCAAGAAAATTGTGTGTATCTGTAGAGCATGGCCCTTCTCCCTGGACCTGTTTGCACCAGAAGAGTCACTGAGCACTTAATTAAATCAGAACTATCCTTCTGTTCCTGCATGGACCACTGTACTGGTTTGGGCTGGATTCTTAAGGGTACCAGCAGCTGAATTTTTCATCCTCTCTTGCCTTGTGCCTCTTTAGAGGGGCTGAGAGTCTGGGTGAATAATACAGAGTCTTCCATTGGCTCCCTATATTTTCACTGTTGTCAGAGTCCTGGTCCTGCCACCAGCCTTCTCCATATGGAGAGATAGAAGGGGATATCATAAATAGTGATTTGCTGCTCAGAATCTGATGCTGTCCCCTGTACATCTGTAACAGGGAAACACCTCTCTGCTGAGTTAATCTGATGACACTTATAAAAAAGTTTTCTTCCTCACTGAAATCTCAGAATTTCAAGGTTTTTTTCAGGAAACCTTTTGATTTAATTCACCAGAAAACCCAAGGCATTTTAGTTGATTTGCAGAAATCACAAATCCCATTTTCTTCTCTTTCTCCTCAAAAAATACTGCTAAGTGAATGATAGAGTAAGTTTGCAAGCAACAGACATCCTTTATGTTCCTAGAACCCCAAACTGGAAATAATTGGAAAGCATCTTTCCATGTCTTCATTCTGCTTTATCTGTGGTCAGTACTGGGTGATGAGGGAAACTTCAGATGGCAGTCATGCATTTTTTGGGGTCATGGGGGATGCATCCTTGCTTTTCCCTTCAATGTTTCTCTATAAACTGTTGCCACCGCTATGAAAAATGTAATTGATGGTCTCCTAAACCTTGTATGATTTCTTTTTTTAATTTCTGCATCCAGCAATAGCAAACCAGCTAGGCAAATGCAACAAGATTTGAATTATAGAAAACTAAGCCCTCTTGAACTAAAATGTATGTTCTGTGCGGCTGGAATTCACAAGTTTAACAGATGTAAATATGCCACAGTTCACTCAGATGTGTCACATACCATCATTCTTTTACTGTTGCCACAGGAATTGACCCTAAAAGGCTGCAGGGCTTGAAAGCCTTAACCCAGAGTTCTTTTAAGACCCTTTTTATTTAGTTCTTCGAACTTATTGAAAAAAACCTATCCATGTGGTTATTTTATTACTCTCTGTCTTTGACCTTGATGCTAAACCCTTAGGGTGAAATCCTGGCCTATTGAAGTGAACAGCAAAACTATTGAATTTACTGAGGCCATGGTTGTGGCCCTTTTATTCAGCATCAATTTCCATCACTTCCTTCAAAATATACTTAAATACGCTTAATGAGAACAAAGAGTTCTTTGTTTTACTAACAAGGAGTTAGTAAAATCCATTTAAGGGCACCCCTTCATAGCTATTATCCCTTATGTTGTTTTTCACCTTTACTAAATTATTCTTAATTAGAGGTTTGGATGGTGTTTTTTTGCCTTTTTGTTTTTCCTGTTTTTTATTGTTGTTGTTTTCCTCTGATTGCAAAACCAATAAACCCCAAACACAACTAAAACTTCTGTAGGATCTGGGATATCTGAGTGTGCCAAGGAAGCATGGCTGTACCAAAAATTTGTGGAAGAACAAGAAATTTAGATACTTTTGTTCTCCCCTTGCCTTCTTCTTGTGATGGTGAATGTGAGGTGTGAACAGACTGTAGGAATGTGACTGAAGGAAAGCCTGATCTTCAGTGTCCCTTCCCAAAAGCAGGAAAGAAAATTACAGGCAAGGACACAAGAGTCTGGGTCACTGCTCTTCCTTTTCTCCAGATACAGGTGCTCCAGCTACTCAACCTAAGAATCTTGTCCGTTTAGCTTTCTCGCTGCACCTTTTTTCATTATCCTACAGATCAAAAAGCATCAACTGAAAGGAGAGATTTAAAAACCCACCTGTTATAAATAATCAGCTGGCAGCTGGGTTCTAGTGGCATTCTGTCTTTTCATGTAAAACCTCTACACACATCTCTAGCAAGTTCTAGCAAGTATTCAAAGAATCATGGAGTCACAGAATGGTTTGGTCTGGAAGGAGCCTTTAAGACCTCTCAGTTACAATCTCCTGCCATGGGCAGGGACACCTTCCACTAGCCCAGGTTGCTCAGAGCCCCCTCCAACCTGGGCTTGGACACTTCCAGGCATGGGGCAGCCACAACTGCTCTGGGCAACCTGTTCCAGGGCCTCACCATCCTCACAGAAAGGAATTTCTTCACAATATCCCGTGTAAACCTGCTCTCTGTCAGTATGAAGCCATTCCCCCTTTTCCCACACTCCATCCCTTGCCAATAGTATCTCTCCATCTTTCCTGTGCGTTCCCTTCAGGCATTGGAAGGCTCACTTAAGGCCCTGTGGAGCCTTTTTTTCTCCAGGCTGAACAATCCCAATTGTACAACCACTGAAGACATAAACACTTGTGCCAACAAAGTAATTTTCCTCCATCTGTCCTCTTTCAACCTTCCCTCCAGATGCCCCACCTCTTCAGCCTCTATCCATTCCACTCTCTCACTCCACAAATTTCTCATTTTTCCCAAGTCATCATCATTCTTTCCCCTAGATCCCACAAATCCAGCTGCTCCTTCTTACAGTATCAATAGAGAAACTGTTGAATCATCTTTTTGATTTTTAGAAAGGAGCCTTTATCTAATCACCATGTGCTTACATCCCAGCCAGGATCACTTGGAGCTTGATTTTTCTCTTTTAATCATATTTATTCGCAACAGCTTGAGGGTTATTGGCAGGTGGGGCTGTAGTGATTTTATGCTCACTTCAGATGCTTGTTAACGTGCATAATGCAGTGCTCATTGGTTATACTGGGAATTACAATCAGCATAATTCAATCATGTTCCCACCTCTTACCTAACACAAGCATTTGATGCAAATCCCCTGTGAGAAGCTGCAGTGTCATTTTTAACTGCTCGAGATACAGCCTAGATACAAAAACCTGTTAATTTTCTTTCCCTCTCATCCTGCATTCATTCTTCTCACATGCTGTTCAATCTCCTTAAGGATGCACCTTGCTTTTTGACATTCCCTGGCAAAAGGACCAGAAATAATGTCTATTCTACAGCTCTACAATTTTCCCTCTTTGCCCAGATCTGTGGAGTCATGAAACTGCTGCATGAGCCTCTTCTGTACAAAGCTTCTGGGACACTCATCCTGAATGGCTAAACCTACCTCTTTCTCAGTGTGGGGAGCTGGCTGGCAGGAACAAATCAGAAGCTAAAAGAACTCTTTTTCTGCCAATCTTCTTTAAAAACACTGATCTGGTTAATTAAGAAACAGGCTTCAAACAAAGACATTTAAAAAGCATACTCAGTTTTAGCATCACAATCATAAGTACAGACACAGAGTTCTGTAAAACTCATTTTAATTGCCCTATTGCTGCGTATCTGGAGAATAACACCCTGCAAATCCCTCCTCTCTGTTCCTTTAACTTTCTGACACATTTCTGCTTGGTTTCAAACTTCACATGCTTGGAATATGACACAAAGGTAATTTTTTTTTTTTTTTTTTTGGGGAAATTTGGAAAAATTGGCTTTTGTTTTT